TTTAAGGGTATTACACAGAAACACACCATAATAACATGAATCAAATATGTACTTTATTCATTTACATTAAATGTCATAATGTACATCATTCTGATTGGAGCTAAGGGTATACACTGTCTAACACCTATGTTGTACAAGCCATAATGAAACACTTTTATATTCTTTGTTTTTTGATATTTTAATAATTAAGTAGATATTATCAAACTAAAATATTAATTGTGTGGGTTTATATACTAGTTTCCTTTTATTATTTTCTTATTTGTTAAGGTTCAATCAACATACATGCTGTTGTATGCTGTCTTGAACCCTCAAAGACTTAAAAACCTGAATCAATAAGTAGGTAAGAACTTAAAATTCTGTCCAATAAACACATTTTATATCCTCTTCCTCCTCCTTCCCACCCCTTTTCTCCTTTTCGTAGGCAAAAATAGGGGCTCAACCCCTATATTTTTTGAATTTTCTTTCCTTTCTTCTTTTTCTTCTCATAAATAATGTTTATTTTCTATGTTTTAATATGAAGCTTATACTTTTTTTATGAAGTTTATAGATAATTATCAAGGAAAGATGGTTGATGGTTGCTATGGAACCTAGGGAATTATTGTAGAAATCATGGTTTTTATGTAAAAAAATTCCATTCAATAGGTGATCAAGCGACAAGGCAGTGAAGGCACCCCCCTATATTGCCCAACTTCGCTTGGTGCCTTGTAAACTATGATGGTGGGCATCTTCCTCATGTGCAAAACATAAGATGCATGCCTGAGGAGATAAACACCAACACTGTCTTTTCCTGTAAAGATTCTCACAAGTGTTAATTTTTCAAGCGATAAACTTCCCAACAAGAGGCTCTCACCTTATGTGGTGCCAATCGACTCCAAATTTCATTGATAGAAAAAGGTTGAGAAGGTGGAGATGAAGAGGAAAGCAATGCATCCAAGAAAGAACTACAAGAGAAGTTCCATAATAGAAAGGGTCCAAATTCTCCCATCAGCCTATAAGGCTAAGTGTGGTGGTCTCCTTGAAGGATGAAGAAAGGCCGAGGGATATCAGGTAGAAAAGGTGAGTATGGGTCTCCGAATTGGAGTCGTCTCTTGGTTACAGTTTATTCCCCCTTTTTATAAGTGTAGATCTTGAGGCCCTAAGGGGAGGTTCCAAAACGAGTTTGATTCCCATTTGGAAAGGAAACCATGATTTGATGTTGGTTGTTAGGAAGACACCACTGGGGGATCGCCACGTGTCGAGCGAGTTCTTCCTTGGACGAAGTTTCCTTTCGTCCAAGGATTCTCAAGTCACACGTGTGCTACTTCCCTTTATGGGTCTCCCGTGTTGACGTGGCGAGAATGCCGTCAGAACTAATTCGACATGTTCACTGAATTTGTTGGATGTCTTGTCATGAGCGTCTTTGACTTGCTACAGCTGTGAGGTGGCTCTTTGGTCTATCGCACGTCCATGATGGCTTTGAGCTCATCGCAGGCTTGTGATGGGCTATAGGCTCATCGAAAGCCTATGATGGGCTATGGGCTTATCACAAGCGTGGTTTTGATGCCTTCATCGCCTTCACCGGTATAGGGAAACACGTATACCGGTGAGAAACACGTATAGGGAAACGCGTATGCCTTCATCACCTTCATCGCCCCCTACTTATTGGTGAGAATACTCTTATCAATAAGCATTCCTATGGTCGGTGCGATTTCTTTACTCCTTTTATCGCATGTTCTGTCATCAGCTAGGGCATTATGGCTGATGTGGGGGAGGTGACTTTTGGAGTTAGGCGTTGCATGCAGGTTTCTGGTGGTTAGCTTAGGTTGGGGTGTTTGATTTGTTGCTTTTGTTTGATAGTACATTGGTTGGGTACCAGAGGTGTAAGTGAATTCTTTTCTTATTATTCGTCAGTTATAGGGGTCAAGTTTTGGGCTTGGTTTGGGGACAATGCTGCTAATGGTGCGTCTGTTTTGGAGCGCGTTGTGTGTCAGGGAGGGTTGGTTTTTGTAGGGTTGTTATTAGCCCCCCGTTTCTTGATAGGAATCATTTTGTTAAGGTACAATCCCTTCGTGCATGGCTAGATTTGATGTTATTTTAATTTTGTTAGCCCCCCTGTGTCTTGGCAAAATGCTTTCTATTGAGAAACACTTCTCAATGCTTGTGCGGTTAACTCGTGTGATTAGTGATTGCCGAGTAATTATTCCAGCCACCCTATGTCTAAAGGGATGGTTGGTGGTTTGGGAGTTTTTGTTAGGACATGGTACTGATCAAGTTCCTTCCTTCTTGCCTAATTGGGGATAATTATCGCGGTGCAGTGTATGGCACATCAGGGAGGTGGACACAACTGAAATGTTATCAGTATGAATATGCCAAAGCTACTGACTTCGGGAAGGGTTTTTGGCCTCCCATGCCAGTGTCAAGGGGGGAGAGYGGCATATTCGATGCTGTGGAAGGAAATGAAATGCTGTGTTTGTATGGTCGTCAGAAACACGGTGTTGCCTTTAGGTGTTTTGCGCCACGGACTGACGATTCCAAATCCTCTTTTCATTCTTGAAAATCCTATGTACTGTTGGTTGCTGCACAGTGCTGGGCTCTTGAGGTTCGTCAATTGTTTCGTGCATCTTCCAGGTAGGGAAGGGGTGGATTATATGTGGCCCCTCTTGTCGCATTGGTGTTGCCGGACGCATACGTTTGTTGGCGCATTCGGAAAATTTGGTATTACCGTGGAAAACGTGGTTGCTTTACTTGCTTTGCCGTTGGTTGGTGCCATTTCAGCCCACCATTTGCAGTATGCCGAGTCTATTCCCAGCATGTTGTCAGATCTTCACGCAGAGTTGGGGGTAGAGATAGACGTTTTCAAGGCGCAAGTGGATGCGGCGACCGCTCGGGGGAAGTGGCCCCTTGAAGCATGAGTGAGCTATTGGTTCGAGAGCAAGAGCGTGTCAGATGTCATGGTTAGGAAAGCAGACAGGCAATGCCATCTTGCCGCATTTATTCTATTCCTCGGGAACCCCCACTTGTAGTCCTGGCAGCCGGTGGTCATCAGCTTCCCCTGGCTTCCATGTTCTTGGGGTACCTTTACGAGCAGATGGACAACATGGTCCATTAGATTATGGATCCAAGTTGCAGGCATTGCACGTCCTATGTTTTTGCCCCATTCTTATTCATGTTCATCTATGAACGTTTCCCCTTGAGTGTGACTCCTCGGCGCTTATATCCATTGTTTATCAGCATGGCGATGTTGGACAGAGAGGATATTGAGGATATGCCATTGAATGTATGTCGTGGGAAGCAGTGGCTTAATGCCAAACGGGACAAGGGGTTTGGCATCGGTGAAATAGAGGCAGGATTTGTCTCTTCGTAGAGTTTTGTAGCTTGTCCTTATGCTCGACATGTTCGCCATGCTATGCCCTTCTGTATAGGGATAAGTGTGCTTGAGGGCGGTGATCAGCAATGCATCGTAGGCGTCGATAATCCTGTTGCTCGTACTGCTCATTTCATCTTGTGGCATGGTGTTGCGTATTTGGACTGCTTTGGTGAGGCGCAAATGATTGTGTGTCGCCCTAACTACCTCCTTCATCAGTTTGGGTATGACAGTATAGGTTCGCAATTTTTGCGGTCTGACGGGGAGGATGTTTTTTGGCAATGCCACAACGGGTTCGCCTTTCCGAGTGTCACACGTTTTCCTTTGGCTGGCTTTAGATGTGTGGAGGTGTGTAGTTCCGTCTGTCTGGGTTACTTATGTGCGTTTCTCGGTGGCCTTTGGATGTTTATGGTGATGGAGCCCCAACTGTGACATGTGATGGTCCCGCCGCCAGGTCCTGCATCCGAACAAGTTGGAGGGGACCTTTCTGGTGCTTGTGGCCTTGTGGGTGTGCCAGCGGCCTAAGTTGTTTTGGAGGGGCAGGGTTGTCCTAGCGTTGATGCTAAGGGTAAGCAGCCCGCGGTCGAGGAGGGGGGAGAGCAGTCATACCCCTATTAGTAAGAAGTGTAGGACGGCGAGGAGAGTCCGTCCCTATCTATCATTAGTGGTGGGTGCCGAAGGTGACTTAGCGGCAGCACCGAACGTGGAGGCGCCCCAGGCTAAGGTGCAGGACTCTACTGATCAGGCTAGTGTGGAGAGGGTCTCGGCTGAGGTCAAGGTTCAAAGTATCGATACGATACGCGTATTGGCAGTATCGTATTGGTACTTAGAAACACACGAAACTCTTTTTTTTTAGTTTTTTTTTTCAAATTTTGGTTTTTTTGGGAAGCTAAAAATAAGCTTTTTTTATTTAAAAAAGATGGGGTTCCAAAAGATACGATACGATACGCCTCGTATGATACGCCCGATATGGGGCGTATTGTATCGATATACTTAAAACCATGGCTGAGGTCTCTTGTGAGGAGGTTGTGCAGGTGGCTACCATGGTTGGGTGTCCTAATTTGGGAGTTAGTGTGGAGTCTACACAATCGACAGGGGATGTCGTGCCGTTGGCTGCAATTATAACGGTCCCTGTCGCGGGTGGACGGGTTAAAAAAATAGCTCCTCGTGTTTGGAGGAAGGAACCGAAGGCGTCTGGATTGGTAAGCTTCTGCCATTGTTATGTTTTTCATATCGACTTTGTTTATTTGTTAAATATTATTTCTGATCGTGATTGTTTATTTTTTTTCTTTTGTCTTGAAGAGAATGGAAGTGGAGGATGAATATCCTAACTTCATAGGCCCGCGCTTCATTGATGACCGTATTAGCTGCGATGAGGTATATTTGTTTTTATGGATATTGTTGTTTTTGTCTACTATTGATTATTATGACCTTTTCTGCTGTTGTAGGTTTCTTTTGCTTCAGTGTCTGCTAGCGTTACCGTGTCGCCTATTATCAAGCGATTTGCGGCGGAGCTGAGCGCTCTCTACCCTGAGACTGTAGAAGGGAGTGCACTGGGCAATGATGTTGATGCAGTTCCTTCTCTAGTGGAGGTCTCCGATGAAAAACACGTACGAGAAGGTGACGAGTCTGTCAACGACTCTGTCACAGAGGCCATGAAGCCCACCGATGCTTCGGAGGAGGCTGTTGTTGTTGGTGACTTTGCAGAGGTAGATGCTCCTGGCTTGGTACAAGGGTGAGTGCAGTCGCTGCATGGGGATTCGGCAGTTTGGGATAGTGGTCATGTGGCGATGGGGGCTGTGGTGTGTTTTCGTCCAGTGGAGGTTGATGAGCTGGACCCGCAGCCTGGTGACTTGGATTTTACTGCTGAATTCGAGATAGTGCGCCAAGAGTTGACAGACTGTTATGAGAAGGAAGATATGGTGCCTATTGGGTTTGCGGTGTCTGATCCTTTCGTTGTTCAAAAAGTTCGCAGATGAGAGCAGTTCATCGTGTCCCGCAATGTTGCAGGTACTGTGTCGTTAGTTATTCAGAAGGGGTGGTTGCCTTTTGTTGAATTTCTACATGTGGTTATGAGTGCCCCCTTAAACATGGTGGCTGGTTTAATGAACTCTATTATGTCACAGTCCATGGAGTCATTGTCATTGTCTTTGTTTGCCCGGTGACAATGAAGACGTGTTTCATCCGGTGACAATGAAGACATTTGTGGAGTCATTGAAGATGTGATTCGCATGGCTCATGTGTTCTGTAAGACTGGTCATAAGGAGTCCAACCCATTGTCTTCCAAGAGCCTGGATGAGCTCCGCAAGTGGTTGGAGGTTGTGGATACCTGCATTTTGAAGACTGAGGAGAAGATAACAGCTCTTCTTGATGAATCCGCTCGTCAACAGAAGGTGTTATAGCGGGAAGAGTGTTAGGAGATTGTCGAGATTCAGGAACAAAGGGCAAGTTTAAAGGTGATCACCGAGATGCGTGATGAGTGGTTTAGTGAATAGATGATTTGTATCCGGTAGTTTGGTATTGTATCACTTTTGCTATGTAAATGTTCAACTATTAATACTACTTAATTAAAGCAACCTTTTTCTCATGTGGACCGTCTTGCTCTCTTGTTACTTTGTGTTGTATATATTTTGTTATTCCAATTGGTCGGGTTTATTGTTTGCTGGGAACTTGACATGGTCCTGAAGTGATGTTAACACGCGTGAGTGGTGCTTAATGAGTGAGAGTAACTGAGGCATATACAGTGTCATGTTGGTAGTGTATTAGGGTGGTGCTAGATGCTGTGTTTGCGATGAGCATAGATTGCCATCTTACCCCCCGCGATGGCTATTTAGTGTTGCCTCAAGTCTGCGGCAGACTGGGTATGGCTGCAGTTGTTAGCAGCCGTCCAAAATGTGTTTTCTGTGATCACTGGGGCTTAGGTAGTGTCACGCGGGTCCCAACGTAGGCGTGGTTCCTGTGGGTTGTTGTGACATCCTCTCTGGAACTTCTTGTTATTTTGTATGTTGTGATATGCATTTTAGTTGTAGCATGGTAAAATCCTAGATAGAAGATGGCGTAAAAGGGGTCCTTTGTCGTTGAGGACAAACTGACTATAATCTAGCAAGACTGTGAGCAATGTTTATCGAGTGGAACATCATTGAGGCACATACATGGCCTCGTGTTTGTAGTGTATTAGAGAAATTTAGAGTGCTAATGTTTGCGATGATCGTAAATCATTGCATGACTCCTGCGATGAGTGCTTAATGGTGTCTTAAGTCCGTGACGAACTTGGTGTGTGAACCCCGAATCACAATGGTTGAGTATTTACTATACTTTGTTGTAGTCGAGTCATCATCTTGGTCTATGGCTTGAGCCCCCCACTAGTCAAGTTGTAATATGTTGCCATTTTGGTAGAGCACAATGTTACCGCTTGCATCTTTATATCTACCTGCGACGAGTGATTTGCATAGAATGAGATTCTTCTTCTTGCTATGTCGTGCCTTCTATAAATTTTGCGGCAAAGTTTGTTGGAGCCTTCCTGGGGTTTCCTGGGTATGTAAGATTGCTAATGGGGTTGCTAAAGCCTTCTTAGGGTTGCTAGGGTATGTAAGATCGCGCCTGGGATTGCCAGGGCCTTTCTAGGTTTTCCAGGGTATGTAAGATTGCTCATGGGGTTACTAGGGCGTTCCTGGGGTTGCCAGGGTATGTAAGATTGCTCCTGGGGTTGTTAGGGTATGTAAGATTGCGCCTGGGGTTGTCAGGGTATTGTAAGATCGCTCCTGGGGTTGCCAGGGTACGTAAGATCATGCTTGGGATTGCCAGGGCCTTCTTAGGGTTGCCAAGGTATGTAAGATCACTCCTGGGGTTGCCAGGGTATGTAAGATCGCACCTGGGGTTGCCAGGATATGTAAGATCGCACCTGGGGCTGCTAGGGTATGTAAGATTGCTCCTGGGGTTGCTAGGGTATGTAAAGTATTTGCAAGTTCAAACACGTCAAATAGTTAGTAGGAAAGGGCAATTTTTATGATTGATATAATGAGTCAAGTATCACAGATTTGCGACAGATGAATAATGAAGTATCATATGACTAAAAGGAAGTAAAGTCTAGTGATTTGATGCACATATTTGAGAAAAAAAGATTTCATTAACAATTTCATGATGATTTAGTGTACATAAACCAAAAAGGAAGTAAAATCACAGCATTATTCATTGTATAATTTGAGCCAATGGTCATTCATTGTTTCATCTTGTTCATTTGTGTGTGTAGGGGTGTCAATTGGACTGGGTTTGGTCCAACCCGATCCAGTCCAATGTGAATCCACTTACAAATGGACTGGACCCAATCCAGTCCAAATCCAATACAAACCAAATCCAATCCAATCCACTAAAATGTAAATGGATTGGATTTTTGGGTCCAATCCAAACCGAATGAAATATCAAAAATTATATAAAAGCACTTTTGGCATTGAAAAAACACTTTTGTAAAACTACTTTGATAAAAATATTTTTATAAAAGTGCTTTTACAAAAGCACTTTATTGAAAGTACTTCGTAAAAGTTCTTTTGTAAAAGCATTTTTAGAAAAGTACTTCCATAGGCTTGTATTTGTAGAAGTGCTTTTGTAAAAGTACTTTTGTAAAGGTACTTTTGTAAAAGTGCTTTCATAAAAGCTCTTTCATAAAAGTGCTTTTGTAAAATTGCCTTTATAAAAGTGCTTTTGTAAAAGTGCTTCCGTAATTTTTTTTTTGTAAAAGTGATTTCATAAAAGTGCTTAATTTTATTAAAGTGCTTTTATAAAACTACTTCTATAAAAGTGCTTTCATAAAAGTACTTTTGTAAAAATACTTTCGTAAAAGTATTTTTATAAATTGCTTTCATAAAAATACTTTTTTTCTGATCAATTTGTAAAAATACTTTTCATAAAATTACTTTTATAAAAGTGCTTTTGTAAAAGTATTTTCGTAAAAGTGCTTTCGTAAAAGTACTTTCATAAAAGTGATTTTATGTTGGCTTCAGTTTTGATTGATTTCAAATTGGACAAGGGTTTGGCCTCATGATCAGATTATTAGAAATTTGGTTTAGGTCCAATTCAAACAAATAAGAATATGGACCAATTTATTTTGGATTGGTCTAGTCGAATAATTATAATGGACTATCCAAATCCGATTTGATAAGGTTTGGATCGGATTAGATACAAACCAAAACCAGTCGATTGACACCCCTATGTGTGTGGGTCCCATAGCATATAGTATCAAGGTTCAAAATATCGATATGCTCGATATGCCGGTAGAGGTGTATCAGGCAGTATCGGTGGTTTTTTTAGTATTTTTTAGTTTGTTTTTTCAAATCTAGTTTAGAGGAGCTGGTTTAAGGTCTGCCCACCCACTGAACCAGTCAAAAGCTTGATACACCCTCTGTACGGGCGTATCGGGAAGCTCTTGATACGTATTGATATTTTGAACCTTGCATAGTATCCTGTTGGTTGTGCCTCCTTGATGATATATGGTCCGACCCAGTTGGGTGTGAACTTTCCAGCTGACCTGCCTTGTCACACATGTAGGGCTGTCTTCAACACTTTATCCCCCCCTTCTTTAAACTTTCGGGGTTTCACCAACTTATTGAAATTGGATGCCATGAGTTGTTTGTACTTAATTTGTCTTTGGAGGGACTTTTCTTTATCTTCCTCTACGAATTCTAGCTTATTGCAGAGTTGTTGATTCATTTCTTCTGTCTAAAACTGTTTCTCCATCGCATAAGCTACTCTAGCCAAAACTATCTGTATTTCTATTGGTAGGACTGCTTCTTGTCCGTAGACTAAGGAATAGGGTGTTGCCTGAAACACCTCTCGTTAGTCTGAAACACCCACATCCCAGATCCCCTTGATCCAACCATATTTGAGCCAATCAAACCATGTGATTGAGCCCTAGACCACCAAAACACATGCCCATAAAGTTTCAACCCAGGATTTCCCTGTTTACCCTTCTATTAAACCAAGATTCCATTTTGAATCCTCTTATTGACTCAAATTCCTACAATCATGACCCCCTGAACTAATCAGACATTACCACCAGATCCCATATACTCTAAATACACACCTATAAAATTTCAGCCCAAAATACCTTTGTTTGCCTCTCCATCACACCAAGATTCCATTTTGAAGCTTTAAATTAACTGAACCATTACGCTTCCAGATATACCTGATCTAGGCCTAGTTGGGCCACTACTTTGCTTTGTACATACATGACTAGCTGCTCGGAGAGTGGTGGTCTATCCATGAAATATTTGAGTGGATCATCTCTTGCTATCAAGACCACCTTATGGCCTAATATATAATGCCTGAACTTCTGGGCAGCAAAGACCAGTGTTAGGCATTGTTGTTCCATGTGGGAATAGTTCTCTGCAGGTTTTAGTGTCCTGCTGGCATAGTAGATGGGGCACTCTACCTTCTCATTTTCTTGGTTTAATAGGCACCCTATGGCTACTGAATTGGACGTGATGTATAATCGGAACTCTTGGCCATCCTTTGGTGGGGACATGGTTGGTGCCTTAGATAGAACCTGATCTGGTCGAAAGCATTCTGATGCTGCGGTGACCATTTGTACTCTACGGATTTCTTGGTGAGCTTGAGGAGGGGAGATGCAATGTGTGCAAGGCCAGGGATGAACCTCCTTTGGTAAGATACTTTCCCTAGGGACGTCTTTAGCTGCAATTTAGTACATGGGGAGGGAGGTCTAGGACTGCCTTCACCTTGCCCCCGTCTAGGTGGATTCTAGTGTGATAGACCTAGTAGCCTAAAAGCATTCTTGATTGCATTCCGAACGCATACTTGAGGGGGTTGAGTTCTAGGTTGAAGGCTCAACATCGCATTAATACTTTCCTCAATACCTCAACGTGACCCTCTTTTCTCTTAGCTTTTAGGACGATATCATCCACGTAGCACTCTATCTCTTTATGCATCTTATCATGGAAGACACTCGTTATGGCTCTCTGGTAGGTGGCTCCGGCATTCTTCAGACATAAGGGCATCATTTTGTAATAGAAGTTCCCTATCGGCGTTCTGAATGCTGTGTGGGGTGCATCTATAGAATCCATGTAGATCTAGTTGTAGCCACTATATGCATCTTGGAACGAACACAACTGGTTCCCGGCTACAGCATCAATGAGGATCTCCATGTTGGGTAGTGGGAATTCATCCTTTGGGCAGGCCTTATTGAGGTCTCTGAAGTCTACACAACACCTAGGGTGTTTGGGAGGAAGAGAGGGTGTTACCGCCATTACATACTGWCTTTAGGAATACTAAGGTGATGAGGTTTTGGGTGTGGGTACTAACCTTAGATGGACATTCTTCTTTTTGACTGGGACGACATTGGCTAGCCACTATGGATATGTGATGGGCTTTATGAAGCCTATTTGCAGGAGTCATTCGACTTCCTCTTTGATCTTTAGGGCGACTTCTGGTTTGAACACCCTCTGTGGTTGTTTCATTGGTCTGGACTTGGGGTCGATGTAGAGTGAATGCTTGACTAGTGCCGAGTTTAGCCCCGGCATCTGGTCATATGACCATGCAAAAACGTCATGAAACTCTTTCAGGAGACCTATCAAGTTC